CTCCTGTGGAAGGAGGGGGAGGGAAGGGGAGAACTTGGTTCCAGGGCTCTGCCCCTCTGTGGTCTGGTTTGCCCTCTTCCTTTCTTAGGCCCCTTCCACACCCCTGGCTCTCACATCCAAACCTGCTCTCCATCCTCCCTCAGCTGCTTCCCAAAGCAGCTCCTCATTCTGCTGGAAGTCCTGGAGTGCGGGGCACGGGATGGAGACTCCTGCCACAGGTAGGGGATGAGGAGGTAGGGCCAGCCTCCTTGGCACCAGGTAGGGTCTCTGCCTGGCTCCTTGTGTCTGCCTGCCTCTGTGTTTGACCATCCTTTCCCTCTGCCTTGTTCCCTTTCTCAGAGTCAGATCTGGCCTCTGCCATGTTTCTGCCCTTCTTGGGGTCTGACATGCGTACATTTCATGAGTCTCTGCCTTCTCTAAGCCTGACCTCTGCTTGCCCTCTGTCTGTCATCTCTGCCTCTACGTCTTCCTCCAGCGTCTTCATGACCTCTCCCCAATCTCACTGTTCTCCTCATCTTTCCTGATTTTCTTTGCATCTGAAGGTGACCCAGGATTCTTTCCTTTGTCCGGGATCACCCCCCCGCCCCAGCTCTTCCAGCTCCTCTATCCCAGGCTCACCCTCTCCTCTCCCATCCCCTCTCAGCACCCTCCCCTCCTGTGACTCAGCTGCCAGTTCCCTCTCACACCCACTGTCGCTGCCGTTCTCTCAGCGTCCAGCTCCTGCTCTGTCTTCGGCTGTGGGAGCTTAGGTTCTCTGGGTGTCCCTCTCTTTTCTCTACCGACCTCCTCATCACTCTCCAAGTCCTTCCTAGGAAGAGGAGTGTCTTAGGGTGGGAGAATGGAGAAAGGTGCCAGGAGAAAGGTGGGAGGGCCTGTGGATCCTTTCTCTTCACTTCCAGCATCTTATCTTTTTGTTGGTTTTCCTGGTCCTCCTGACTCCCAGTTCCCGCTCTCTCCACTGTCACCTCCTCAGGTCTTCCCTTTTCCCTTTTTCCCCACTCCCTTCTCCTCCTGTAATCAGACACTGGCATCCCTCCTTCCTGGGATGGGCCCTTGACCTCCCTCTGACTGTTGTCTTCAAAGCTCAGAGGTTGGAAAGGGAAAGGAGCAGGAGGTTGGCTGGGAGTGGCTGTGTGTGGTGAGGTTGGGGAGACTCGGTCTAGGGTCTAGGGTCGAAGCAAGGCTTCAGGAGTCTCAGCAGGAGTCTGACAGTCCCATTGTCCCCTGAGCCCCTGCCCTCCATGGCTCGTCCTAGGCCTTTGCTAAGCAGCCCAGTTGTGTCAGTGACTCCATGGGGGGCTTAGTTGTAGTGGGGCCTGCTTCTTCCTCCCAGCCCTCCATTCATTCATCTCCTCCTCCTCTCCTCAGAGTCCTGCTACAACATAACTCTCCCCAGTTCCTCATCTACCTGCCTCCCCTGCATATGGCCTGCAATAAATGGGCCAAAGATTCCCCATTTCTAGCAGGTCCAGATGAGGAGAGTCTTTTGAACAGAAGTGATAGTGGGAAGAAATGAGGGAGAAGAAAGGATGGAGGGTGCCAGGCCCTAGGAGATAAGGAGGAGCTGAAGGTGGGCTGAGCATACAGTTGTCCTGGTTAGGTAGGGAGAGGGGCCTCTGGGGTTGGTTGGAGACAGTGGAGGCTGTGTCTAGAAGGGTAGTGGCTACAGCCGCAGGTCCTTGTGCCCTCTCAGAGACCTGCCTTGTCTGTGGTTTGGGGGTCATTACCCTGTCTGCCCAAGTGACACACCTCAGAGGGTACACACTGAACCTCCTCCCCACGGCCCAGGCTCGGCACTGTCGTTGGTGGTGGCGAGGTAGTGTTGATCAGAGCTGGAGCGTGTGTCCATAGCGGATGGGTCACATGCTCTAGGCCAGCAAACTGTGGCTCGCGAGTCACATGCGGCTCTTTGGCCCCTTGAGTGTGGCTCTTCCACAAAATACCCCATGCAGGTGCCCACGTACAGTGCGATTGAAACTTCGTGGCCCATGCGCAGAAGTCGGTTTTCAGAAAGGAGATAGACGAAACAAGTATACAAGACGAGCGTGGCTGGGAGAGGTGGAAGGGGTCGACCTCAGCGAACGTACCTCAATCAGATTGAGGACGTTTTTAGCAAAGGCCAGCTTAGGAGTACCCTAATTAAGTTAATAACAATGTACCTACCTGCATAGTTTAAGTTTAAAAAATTTGGCTCTCAAAAGAAATTTCAATCTTTGTACTGTTGATATTTGGCTCTGTTGACTAATGAGTTTGCTGACCACTGCTCTAGGCGAGTCTTAAGGTTTCCCCAAATCTCCTTAATTGTGAGTGTCTCTGAGCCAGGGAGAGGGCTGGGAGGAGCGGTGAGGGGAGCTCCTTGGGGATGCTTAGAGCCTCACAGGCTCCCGGGGAGGCCTCCTTGGTCTGGCCTGTGAAGCTGCCCCCTCCTCCCCTCACCCCTGT